ATCGAACATCTTAATTAAATCCATATATATGAAATAAATAAAAATCAATCCAATTAACTTTTTGCATGCTGCTACTAATCGAGAAATGAAGACAGAAAAGAAAAGCAAATTGTTTACAGATCCAATACATCTTAATTAATTAATTATATATATATATATATATATATATATATATATATGGTCTGAGATCTGAATAAATGTGGCCAGGAACAGAATCACAAATCAAACATTCATAACAAAAAACATCTGAATTAAATCTATATATACACAAACAGTCAATCCATTTTTCTGAATGAAATCTATATATACACAAACATTCAGTCCGTTTTTGTGCATGCAGACCTCGGCGGCGGAGGTTCAGGCGGTGGACTCGGGCGGTGGAGGAATTCGAACAAGGATTGATAAGCCCTGGCGAACATAGCTATGCTGTCTGAATTTCAGACAAGTTGTGATAGATATATTTTTTAGGGTCTATTAGATATAACCCCCTTAGACATTCAAATAATAGGGGTAGACCCAAATTTAAATTTGTCATTTTGATAAAAACCCAAACTTTTCTAAATGACATAAGTACCCTCAATCAAATCCCACAAATCACGTTACTTTACCTTTTGAAATAATATCAAATCCCACCCTATTTTCCCGTTAATACACTATCCCCACAAACCCACTACCAAAAAATCTGCAAACCTCTCAAAACCAGAAATTTATACGGATCTCGCGGACGGTGCCGGATAAATTAGATGAGGAAAGTACTTGCTCCTCGCCGGAGTCCGACGGAGACACCGTCCGCTGTGGTGCAGCGTCGTAGCAATTTTCCGGCGCTGGATTTCGCACAACGGCCTTTTCTCGTCTTTTCGAAAGCATTCATTGGAGAACTCCCACCGATCAAGCATAACCTTCCCAAATCCCTAAAAAATCATCAGATAAGCAACTCAATCAATAACCGAAAAAAAAAAAACCAAAATTCCTCGTTACAGATCGAAGGATTCGATTAGCAAAAGCTCACGTAAGTATTCAGTTGCCGAACGAAACTGGAGAAATTGTTGTGCTTGAAATACTTGGGCAGCAAATCTCTGGCAAACTCACGTAATTTGGCCAACGAAACCGACAATATACTAATAAACTATCCCACTGATATAATTTGACTATGGATCTCGTTAATCGACTATGGGCCGCCGTCACTGCTCCAATCTAGGGTTACTCAAATCTAGGATTACTCAAATCTAGGGTTTTGATAATTCTTCGGCCCATAGTTGATTAACGAGATGCATAGTCGAATTACATCTGTGTTAATATACTATCCCATATCATTTAATAGACTATCCCACTGGTACAATTTTACTATGGATCTCGTTAATCAACTATGGGCCGAAAAATCATCAAACCCCTAGAATAATAATAATAATAATAATATATATGGAAACTGAATAATATGTTTGTTTGAAATACTAATCAATTAGGGTAATTTTCCTTATTATATGAAAACGATTAGGGTCAATAATAATATATATGAAAAAATAATAATATAAATGGAAACTGAATAATATGTTTGTTTGAAATACTAATCAATTAGGGTAATTTTCCTTATATCATGTAATAGACTATCTCATTGATCTAATTCGACTATGGATCTCGTTAATCGACTATGGATCCCGTATTATTCAACCACATAGTATATTAATAATTTCAATATAGTACATTAATCTGCTATGATAGTATATTACGGTTATAGTAGTGATATGAAATTGTGTTACAAACAATACACCACTGAAATGACAAGAACATTGAGAACAAAACCAACGTAAAGTATTCCAACATAACCAATAAAATAGTACATTAATAATCTCATAATTTCAATCTAGGGTTTTGATAAAATACTTAAAATACATCATAACACAATCAAACCAATATGTCGAGTTAAAAAGCTCTAGTACATTAATAATCTCATAATAGTATAATAAAATGATAATGGTAGTATCATATGGTATTCATAATAGTATACTACTGTATTACAACGGTTTAGCACTTAACCGACGTTACCGAGCCATTACATTGTAAACACCTCTTTATAGCAACCAACCCACCAAACCTCGAAATCATGTCCTCATCGTCAGCCAAGATACATTCACCAACGCCTTCCAGCCTATATGTCATGCTTATATCTCACCCATCGAGTTGTGGCCACTTTGAAATAACAAATGCAACCAATGAACCGCGAGTAAACCCGTTCGAACACCTCTTTATAGCAACCAACCCACCAAATCTCAACAAAATCCGTACAAAATTCGCCATCGATAAAACCTTGAATCATAATACGACATTAAAAATACAAAATACTAAAAAATATATTAATATGATAAAAAATAAACTTAAAATGCAAAATTCATACGATAACTTAAAAAACACTACAAAGTATATTTTAATGTACTACCCAGAGTCCTAAAATCCGCTATTATAAACAAATAAATCAACTATCGACCGGGATCAGACACATGAACTCCACGACCGCGGACAGTTATTTCAATTACTACGTAAACCAACTACGACGTTCATATAAAATAACTCTGGTCCAATATGCGTGAACAATCCTTATCTAACTCTGTCAATCCTCTTCCGAACAAACATCATCCGCCAAAATTAACGATGTATATATGACGGAATAATTTTGTTAAAAAACGTTCTACATAATATAATCAAGTATCAACACACCTCTTAAAATTTCTAACCACCATACACGACGATCCTAGCCATTGAACGAAAAATAAATCGAAAAACGCGTTCATACCCGGTTAACAACATCCAACAGATGAGCGCTCAATTCGATCATATTTCCACGACGGTGCAGAAATCTTCAAAGATAAAAATCCCCTGGAACGGTGAAATAGAACCTCCGAAAATATTATACATGATTTGGTATAACGGCCAATGATCTCACGTAATATTATTCCGTGATTTTAGGCAACGTATCAGCAAATCTCAAATCACGTATTAAAGGAATTAAATGCCGTTTAAAAATAAACAAGGGTATTAAAGGGAAATTATATAATATATTTTGCCAAGTTGGCAAAATTGGGTCTATCTCAAAAAGTAGAAAAAAAAATGGATCTACCTCATTAGAAAATATGAACAAGGGGGTTATCCCTAATAAACCCTATTTTTTATGGGTCCTTTAAATAGAGAAGAAGTGACGTCAAAACCCTAGAAAAATTTTGAAGTGAGCGCCGCCAAATTAAAGTACAGCTGATGAGAAAGCCCAGTGGGCTTTCAGGTTGTTTGTGTGTTGGTGCCTTGGTTATTTTATACAGCGTTCCAATATTTTCTAATTTTTATATTATATATTATTCAAATAGTACCTAATATTGTTGGTATATGCAGTAAAATCAATTTTACGAATATTTTATTTTTTTTTTCCGTTAATTTTGGTGTTGAACAAAAATGACATAATCGGCAGATAATATAACCCGTTGAGGTAACGAAAGGAAAGAAATGTTATTTCAAAACAGGGCGATAATACGAGATCTGTGAACTAAATTCACAAAGATCTAGGTCACTTTCAGATAGGTCAATAGTGAATCTAACGCCAAAAATATCCGAGCTCGACGACTAAAATGATTACCTGAAGAAAAAAAAAATCGAGTTTCAAGATATATATTTACTTGTGATAAAGATTTAAGTTAAGCGCACATTCATTGTTTCCTTTGCATAAATAACATCCCCAACATCAAAACTACTGATCTCAATAAATAATCGTCTTAAGGCCATGAACACGTTCAAGGCTATTCTTGTCCACTATTTGAAAACACTCATCAATCCATATTGGAAAAAGAAAATACCTTGACGCGATCCAAAATATAATTAATATATAGTAGCAATAAAGAATGTGCTAAACGACAAGAAAACCTTACGTGCAGACGTAGATTCTCGCTCCGAGTTTGCCATGCAAATTTTCTTGTATATATCCCCATGTATAAACGTCACTAAAATATTAACAAAGCAAAACATTTATGTATCTGATGGTGACCGCTCTGTAAATTTAGTTAATAGATCTCGTATTAATCATCTTCTCTCGAAGTAGCATTTCCGACTTTCTGTTACCTCTCCCTGTATAAATACTGAACTTTCAATTAATTTTACATTTGGATTCGAAAAAAAAAAAAAAAAACCAATTAAAAATTAAAAATTAAATTTTCATAATAAGGATAATTCATAAAAATTCTCATACAAAAGGGAAAATACTACATTTATTTGAATAAACATTTTTAGAAACTGACACAGAAAATCTAAAGCCCAGTGGGCTTGTATTCAGGTGCCCTAAAAATGCCTAGGTGTTGACGTCACTCAACCTCTATAAAAAGGACCGATAAATTCCTAGGTTTTTCTCTGCGCCGTTTTTCTCTGTGTCTGAATTTCCGACACAAAAGTAATGTATGTGTCAGTGTCGGTTTACAGACTTTCGCCTGAAGATCTCCACCACCGCCTAAGGCCGCCGCCTGAACCTCCACCGCCGAGGTCTGCTCTTCACTTCCGATCATATATATATGATCTTCTTTTTCTTGATTTAATTTATTTATGTTCTTGATTAAAAATGTCTTTTTTCGTTCTTCATGTTTGATTTGTGGTGATGAATTAAGATCTTAATAACCTATCTATTTTTCATTTTCTTTTCCTTTTTTTTCTTTTAATATTTTTCACCTGATTTTAGCCTGTTGATACAGATTTGAAATTCTTAAACCTATTAATGATATATATATCATATATGGATTTAATTGAGATGTGTTAGATCTGTATAACAATATTTATTATTGGATCTGGTATTAAGATGTTTTCCATCTTCATTTCTTGATTAGTTTGCTGCACGCAAAAGTTCATTGGATTGAATTTATTTATTCTATATAATTTATATATCTGAATTTAATTAAGATGTTCGATTTGCGGATTTATGGACGAAGTTTAGTTTACAACCTCTCTTTTCTTTTCTTTTTTGGTTTTTGGCAAATAGATGGAGGAGAAACATATCGAACAATATTCTTGTCAGCGGAAACGGTAAAATCAAATTTCTTTTACCAAATTTCTCACAAAGTTAACTTTTTTAATTGCATCAGTTGTTTCATAATATTTTTTAACAAAAAAATATAGTTCATTATGTACAAAGTTTATGAACTGATCACTCTCGTGTTTTTATTGTTGTTGACCAACCGATGAATTCCAGAACTGTTTCGTTAGTGGAGTCATTCATAGTGTTGGAGCGGTGGAAAAGATTTGAGGTTAGTTGTGGCACATCACATCGTTTTTCCTTGCTATAATTTACCGGTTTAATTTATATTTAATTTTATTTCCGTTGCCTTTATGAACTTGACTTCTCATGAATTTCGGATTGAGTTCATTATTCAAATTTCTTTTTATGCATGCAGCTCAACAGAAATTGCAGCAAATGCGAGCACCGAAGCGAAAGCAGCTACTGGCTACAATATTTGACTGCATTGCTTAAAATTTGTGAGTCAACATTTGTATTTATTATCTAAATCTTGAATTTGTCGGGCTTCTTTTTTCTCTCTGCTTATTTTTAGCGTTGTATTGATTGTCTTCACTGCCCACCGCTAGTTGTTAGTTAGTCTACCGGTATATACTTGTCTTTATTGTAATAACAATAATCAAAAAGTACCGGTAGTTACCATTTTTTTTCTTTTGTATGTTCCTCTTAACATTATCTTCGTATCCGTTTTTATGAAACTTCGATTGTATCATAAACACTGGATTTTGCATCTTTACACATTTTTTTATTTTGCATGTCAAGATATTAATTGCGAACCAATGGATAGTTCTAAAGCCCTTTTGGGTATATAAATTAAGTTGAGTGATTAATGTAGTAAAAATTGCCAATTGAATACATGATTTTTTGGAAAAAGCTAACTACACTACAGCGTGCATGATGTATCTGTATATCTATCTATTTATGTGTATTTTCCTGTGTTTTTTTAAATGATAGTCGTGTATTTGAGTTTCTTGGGAATACATAAATTCTTAATTGACATAGATTTTTCCTCTTCTTTTTGTAGACCACGACAACGTTTTGCTCACTTCAACTAATCCGAAACCTAATTGTGACTCGTTTAGTTCGAATGCAATCATGAATTCAAGAAATGCTCTGATGATTTTCTCTAAAGTTCAATCAGTTATTTTTTAAGGGAGTATCAAAAAGGCGTTTCGTGTTTTTATAGATGTTTTTCGGCATTCTACGGGCATGGTTCAAAGCTTCAGAGCTCCACCTCTTCAAGGCACCAAATCAATTGTTTCACCACCCCCTCAAATCATGGCCGCTACGAAATTATTAGTTAAACTGCGTTCGTTCTCATCTTCCAGTGTGGTAAAGAAGGTAGCTAACATTGCTCTATCGTCTCGTGCTTAATTTTTCACCAACAGCACAAAGCAGAGCTTGAGGGAAGAAATTACGATAATATTCTCCAACTTGCTTGGAAATAATTCGGACGCCCCCATAGAAGCTACCAAGCGAATCCAAAAAATGCCGAGCCGAATTCCACAAAGACGAATCAGCCTTTCTTCATATTTCTCACACGCTTTTGCAAACAACAGGTTTCTTCCCCGTCAATCCACCTCATAATCAACACTGATCTCCCTCGTTGGTATGTGGCAAAATGGTAAAAAATGACGACGGAATTCTTGAGCCTCCAGCTATGAAAATATATATATGAGATTGGTTAATGGTTCTTAATGCGGATTTAGTTTTGCTTCGTTGCTACTTTTGTTTTCCTATCATCAAAGACTGAATTTGAGGTGCTAGAAACATTCTAATATTATCGAATCTTTCTAACACCTCAAATTGGGTCTTAGGATAGAAAAGCTAATGATAGGAAAACAAAATATAGCAACACGACGGACTAGCTCGTATGAATGTTAATGCTCTTGTTATAAATCGGGTCATTTTTTCCTTTTTTGTCCCTTTTAGAAATATTCGACTTTTCGTTTTGTTGAATCCAAATATGGAGTGTACTTACTATATATGTAGATTTTGTTGTACTATATATGTTTGTAATAATCTTGGACGTCTTATTCTTAAGAATTTATTTTCCTAAGCGATGTAATGATCTTTATTTACTTAAAGCCTTGTGGTCTCTAATTAATTCTGTTAATTTTTCAAGAAACTAATTATGGCTAAGCTAATCCTTTCAAATAATTATTAAATGCACATCCAATCTTTTCACCCTTTAATTCATCTATAGCTTAAACCTGGCTGGATAAACTATAGATAAAGAGCATAATTTCTTAAAATTGCAATTTGGTCCTAAATCTTTTGAATTATGTATGAGCAAGTCGAATTTATTTCTGGGTATTGGTGGTTGGAGAAACTGGATGCAAATCATGATTTATGAAAATTGCAGTTTGGTCCTAAACCTTTGGAATTATGTATAAACAAGTCAAATTGTATTACATCTGGGGATTGGTGGTTGGAGAAACTAGATACATAGCATGATTTCTAAAAATTGCAATTTGGTCCTAAATCTTTTGAATTATGTATAAGTATGTCAAATTGAACAAAACTCACCGATTTAAGAAACTAAGGTTTCTGCAATTTATGCAATTTCCGCAAAAGGAATCATCGTGATTAAATCTAGGGGGTGGGCCGTTGAATAAAGAAGATATGAGTTGGGCGGTGGGCTGTTAAAAAATGGCGCCAGAGATGGTTTAGGCGGTGGAGCGGTGTTGGGAGGATGATGATTTTTTTCTTTTCTTTTAATTAAATTATGGAAATTTGCAATTTAACCTCTTTTAGTTTCAGCAAAATTTCATCAGAAACTCTATTTGGCCCATTAATTTTAAGGGGCTTTAAGATATAGGTCCCTGGTGAGAAAACATATTAGAACTAAATGACAAGTCTAACTAAACATTAGATTCACATCCTTTATAAATTTCATTCCAATAATGCCCCCACATACAAAAAATGAAATATGCACCAAGTAATATTTAAACTGTATTTATCATGTTTTTTATTCTGCATTTAACATTTTTATTTTCGCATTTATCATTTTTGTTATTATTTTTTTCTGTAGAACATTTTTTTTTGCATTTTCGTATTTTTTCCTTTTCTTCTACGTACTATTGAAAATTATGTTTTTCTTTTTTATTTTTTTCGGCCGTAGTCTTCTATAGAAACCCGTAGTAATCCATAGTCATGTATAGACACTCGTAGAAAACTGTAGTAATCCGTAGTCACGTATTCTTAAAACCCTAATTCCTCCTTTGAAACCCTAGCCGTCAGACACCATAGACACTCATAGATACTCATAGACATCTATAGACATGGAATCGAAAAATCTTAGATCCGCCCCACCAAACCGTAGATCTCCTCCCCCAAACCCTAGATATATGATGGTTGAATATGTCCTTCGATTGGTGGCTCCGCCTCGGCGATTGCTCCTGACTGATTTCTCCCTCTGATCTGTTATCGGATCCGATTCCATCGAGATTTCCGTTAGAGGTTCCAGAATTGTGGTCTCGATTATTATGTCGTCGAGGCTTGGTCTAACCCTGGCGGCCATTAATGGAGTACACTGTGAATCCTTACAAAATACTCCGGCGCGGCAGAGGGGGTAATTAGCGTGTGACTTAACCCATTTTTTTATCCATTCACCGTGGAAGGAGTGTGCCCAGCCCGGAATTTTCGGGAGTTATTTTTCACCCAACTTCCCCAGGTTGCATTAACCCCCACCCAAACCCCCCCCCCCCCCCCCCAAACGGCGAGCACCACCGACACCATCCCCCTCAGCCATGAGCGCCGCCGCCCAACGAGCCCCATTCTCATGACCGACGGCGCTCACCACCAGCACCTCCCTCAGAGCCGCCGCCGCCGTCATCACCATCCCTTCCCACCGCCTCCAACAACGCCATAGTCGATTCCATGGTTATAGCCACCACCTCCTCTCAAATCATGGGATGAAGTTGTGGCGAGAGATATAACTTGAGATCGAGAAAAATAAATCGAGAGAGCCAGAGAGAGAGCGAGATAGAGAGAGCTAGAGAGAGAGCAAGACATAGAGAACCCGAGATAGAAGAAGAATAAAGAGGAAAAATAGATCTGAGAAGAAACGTGAATACGTCGGTTATAAGATTTAGGGTATAAGGCAAGATAGGGATTAAAAAAAATTAAGGATGTGGGTCATATATTATTTCAATGTAAGGATTTAAATAAAAAATTGGATTTAGACTTGTCATTTAGTTCAAATTAAGTTTCGTATGAGGGACTCGTCGCATATTACCCCTAATTTTAATACATACATGTTAAACGGTTGTGGCTTTTATTTTTGTAGAAACCTCCCTGGGGTATTTTGTCTTTTCTCGGTCAACGGGAAAAAGGTAAATGGGTCGAGTGTGTTGTCTAAAAATAAATTAAGGAGCTATTTGCTAATTTTTTTATGACAGGGGAATCGCACAGTTGCGATTTTTTACAGGGGTACTAAATGCAATTATCTAAAACTTTCAATTATTTTTTATATTTGCATAATAAGGATATTTCTACTGTCCCCTAACCTTGTACTTTTACATTTCGCTCATTTTTTTACTAGCAACACCCATTTCAGAAATTCAATTAGCCCCTCTAGCCTCGACTTCTAAACATTCTTCTCAATTTCTCTGCG